TGCAGTGTTTACTTGTAATGGTATGTTCGTCTGGCCTTGTGATTGGTCAAATAAATCCTTATTGTTTGCTGTCATCTTGTCAATAGACGTCACACTGACTTGTAGGATATTGTCTTAGGAATTTCAGCAATTTGTTGGTGGTGGTTAGTTTCCATTTTAATGTGAATTTTCTTGAAGGTCATTTTAATTGTGTTGGTACAGGGCTTGACGCTTTATTTTTTTCTAATTTGAAACAAAGTACAAAGAACTTAAGGGCGCAATGAAAATGTATTGATTTATGTATAAACAATTCATTTGTAGTCTTTAATACTTCTAGCTGCACATTCAAACTTAAGAAAATATGCTTTCATACAACCAACTAAAACATTACAGTACAAACACCATAAGATAAAGATTGTCATGATTCATCATCAACAGTAGATCATTAGCTTGGCAGAAATGTGCAGGATTCACTGATGGGGAACAGCTCTGAAACTGTATGCCTACTAGAACGTGCAACAGCGCCACATTTTCACTTTGAATTCATATTTATTTACGTTATTTAATTATTTGGAAGTTTTCAAGTAATGAATAAAGTGTATCATGATTTAAGACGCCTTAAAGGGATAGTTCACTTTGAAATAAATTTTTGATATGTTTTAGCTTACCTCAAGGGCATCCAAGATGTAGGTGTCTTTGTTTCCACAGTATTTTCAATTTTGACATTTTTCAGTCAAACCGTTGTTTTCTATCAGTCATACACTGGAGGCAAAGGGGGTCCACCAAAAAGCATGCACAGAGAAGTCAAAATTAAACATGATTTAATGACTAAATATAAGTACACATTGATGGCCTAAGACACGAAACGAGTGGTTTGTGTGAGAAAACGAACAGTATTTTTATATCATTTTACCTCTTGTAATCATAGCCATGACAAAATGATCTGATGGCACAGGCGCTTCGGTCTGCGCATGCGCCGGAAGTGATCGCTTGCGCGCCTACGTCACTCTTTGTTTATACAGAGATTTGAAGTTTTACCTTTCACTAAACATATTTAGATATACGGGAAACCGCAATGGAAGACGATTTCGGTATACAAAGTATATGTTTAGTAAAAGGTAAAACTTCCGAAATCTCCGTGTAAATATTGAGTGACGTCACACGCAAGCGATCACTTCCGGCGTAACATTGAACTGATTCAGTTCGGTTCAGTTGGACATTGCACAACTGATTCAGATCACTTGGACGTCACTGTGATTACACGAGGTAAAAACGATATAAATACTGTTCGTTTTCTCACACAAAACCGCTCGTTTCGTGTCTTAGGCCATCAATGTGTACTTACATTTACGAGTCATTAAATCATGTTTAATTTTGACTTCTCTGTGCAAGCTTTTTGGTGGACCCCCTTAGCCTCCAGTGTATGACTTATAGACAACAACGGTTTGACTGAAAAATGTCAAAATTGAAAATACTGTGGAAACAAAGACACCTACATCTTGGATGCCCTTGAGGTAAGCTAAAACATATCAAAAATTAATTTCAAAGTGAACTATCCCTTTAAAAAGTTAATTAATACTTTAGTTATACCATTAACGATATTTAAGACCTTTATGACCGCACAATTTATTTTATTGCTCATTGTTCAACGAAAAAGAGTTTGCTTTCTCTTCTGCACCTTCTGCTTTTCCTTATCTGTGGGTGTTGGTGCCTGTGACCGTGGAAGAGATAAGACGATATTTTTGCCTTTGTCTTCTGGGACTGGGAGTTTGCCTTTCTTGCTTCGTGGGAAGTTTTGGGAGATTTCTGAAGATGCTAATCAAACATTGTATCTGTGTGAAATGTCCTTCAGATAAAGCTGTTTTTCCAAAAAAACTGCCTGTTTAGCCTTGATGGGCTACTGTGAGATTGGTGAATTGTGGGCCCCACAACAAGGCTAGAAGGATATTGATGTTTTTGTAAGAGCAAATATGGAAAGAAATGTAACAGCTGGCCCAGAACAAATGACTCCTGTTACTGACAAGGTCATTTCTTTTACGCCAACACACATTTGCCTTTATCAGCTCCCACAGTCTGGTGTCTTGAAGAATCAGATCCTGTGATGATAAAGAATTATTTGAAAATCTACTTTAAACTTCTGAACATTTGAGTTCGAGTTAGTTTCTACGAACTTTAGTGTCAGTAAGTTCTAATTGAAATAAATTCCGTTCTTTTGAACTTTCCGTTCACCAAAGAATCCTTTCAAAAATGTGTAATGGTTTTCACAAAAATATTAAGGATTTATACTAAGGATAATAAGGATTTTTTTCCCTACACCAGCTGGGCCAGTGGTTCACATTTGTACTTGCCCTGCCAAAATTTTCACCACAAAAAAGTAATAAATAATTAAAATAGGCCTGGTAATTGTCTTCATTGTTTTTGGCCCATATCCTTAATAAATAAGGTTGTGACACTAAAAACTACCAGCCCAACTCATTTAAATTTCAAGTATTATTAAAGACAAGTAAACTGTCAGTAATAAATTAGAACAAACAAATTACGAGCAATAGCACAAATACAATAGAACAAACATACATATTAGAGCCAGACCGAAGTATCGGCAGGCCGATATTATCGGCCGATATTAGGCATTTTCCAAACTATCGGTATCGGCAGTTATAATGGCCGATAAATGAATATTTCAAAAATAAAATAAAAAAAGGCGAAACACGCTTGATACTCTGTATAATAAAGGAGTTTTTACAAGTATAATGTATGCTGTAAGGTTTGGGGGGTGTCACACCACATTCTGCAACCTGAGTTAAAACCTGTTACAACATCATTTTAAGAAGCTTATTTACCTTGGCCCTCTTTCTGTTTCTTCATTATGATATAACGACAGTTTTATATTCTTGACTTAACTTGACTTGACAGGCCTTCAAAAATATAAAAATTAATTTCAATTGAGATATTTGTATATTTAATGTATTTTTGAATTCTTTAATATGTCACAGTCACTGTTGTCATGGCAACTTTTGCATAGGCAAGCACCACTGACATGTTCACTAACAAACCGTAGAAATTCCCTAGTCCTGTCCCTAGTGTCTGCCCTACTTATGTACATTTCAGTTAGCCAGATGTGAACTGTGAGATTTACAGACGCATCAAAGGTAAAATTCAATCAACAGAACAGCCATAAATCCAAACAACAGATTCTGATAACAGTATTGAAGAGTTCAGATGCAAAAGCCTCAAAGTGCCATTTGAAATTTTCTTCCAGAATGATCATTTTTATCAAGCTTGTATATTTAAGTTCAGTAATTTCAGTTAAATTGCAATGAGGATTACCTATTAATTGTCATTTAAGTGAAATTACTGAACTTGAATATATAAGCTTGATAAAAATGATCATTTTAGAAGAAAATTTCAAATGGCATTTAGAGGCTTTTGCATCTGAACTCTTCATATCCAGACTGGAAATGGGCCAAATGTTCTGTTTAAGAGATACTGTATGAGATTACAACCTGCCTTTATGGCACTTTCAATCCTTTTTAAGTTGTCTGTGGAGAATGTTGGATCCTATCTTGTTCAGCACCATTAAAATGAAGTCTGAATCTTATGACACGTGGACAGGGTTTAAAATGTTAAGCTTTGAGTTGGTTTTCAGTGAGCCCCCTGAACTATTGTGTAGGCTAGATGGAGACGCATTTATTTTCAACCCTTCCAGTATGTGTGAATTCTACGGTTCTAAAAGCAAGACTCTGGGAAGTGCATCTCTAGTGTAACAATGTCCATTGCTCTTGCCAAACCCTTGCTAAAAATAGCATAACTTTGACTTGAGATCAACTCCGTTCCATTTTTCAGAGGAACATCTGTAAAACAATATTATTGCATGCCTTCACCACATAATTTACAATGGAGAATGCAGAGTAGTCCCCATGTGTACATGTCTTTTATTGTATATACAGACAAGGTGCATCTCAGTTAGCTCCCTAGTTTCCTAAGTCTTGAATAGTATGTTGTGTACAGAAATTCGGGCACTGGTAAGGACAGTAACGTTTTAAAAGTACAAACAAACTTTCATTATCGAAATCCCTCCTCACTGCAGGTGTTTGGTAGTGTTTTATCTGCATTTGTGTCAGGTTTCGAAGTCCTTCCGCTAAAGGCCTTGCATGAGTTATAGTTTACCTCAGTGAGATCATGGTTTACCACAGAGGTAGGCCAATTCGAGAACTGAAAAAATACCACATTTAAAAACTAAGAGTTTCGGTTCTGTGCGGTTGCTTTTAAGGCAGATTTTGTCATTCTGTTGGTTTCACAACAGTTTTCCGAGTTGTTTAAAAAAAATTTTTGGCTAGCATCGCATGCGTGATAAAGGTGAACGTTTATATATTGTTTCCAATACTGTTTATTTTAATGTTGAATTGTCTGATGTATAGAGAAAATGTGTTTACAGCTTACAGCTGGAATACTAAATGCGTTAATTATTATATACAAACATTATTATTATTATTAATGTTGTATTCATGAAATTATGTCTAGTTGTTGTGCAGTCTCAATTGAAACTACAACTAACTATGCTATTTGTTTTTAAGATGTGGTTCTCATCCTTTTTTACCCTATGCTACAGTACTGTATATAAGCTACTGCTTTGTAAAGTGGTCTGTTGCGGTGGTATCTTTCATTTCAAATTGAGTTTGCTCGCTAACTACCTCAGCTAACTCAAATGAAACTTAGAAAATTACAAACTTTGTCAAATCCAGTGATTTACTTTGCTTACTAAAGCATCCTGGTACCTTGTAAATGTGACTGCTTTCCTCAGAATGATTTATAACTTGTGCAATCTTCCAGAAGTAACATAGAAACCTGGGCAGTCAGATTGGAATGAATGCTTTTAGCCAGTTATTTTTGTTTTCAGCATCTTGTATATCAGACGGTCCGTGGGTGTGCTTTCTAAGGCTGAGACCGTGTATTGGTTGAAGCGATAGCTGTTTTTTTGTGAAAATGAGAATTAAAATGTTTTTTCTGTCCTTGACCTGCAGGCACAGGATAAGAGGAAAGCCTTGGAGGAGACCAAAGCCTACACCACCCAGTCCTTGGCGAGCGTGGCCTATCAGATCAATGCCTTAGCCAACAATGTCCTGCAGTTGTTGGATATCCAGGCCTCGCAGCTGCGCAGGATGGAGTCCTCCATTAACCACATATCTCAGGTCAGAAATGTTCATTTTTATCTCTCTCTCTCTATCTCTCAATCTCATTTCCCTTGCTTTGTCCTTGTCTGTCTAGAGTTTTCATTAAGCATTTGTCTGTTTCTCACAGTGACTGACTACTTAATATATGTTTTCTGTGTTTCCTCTTTTGCCCCCCCGTTTCTCTTTTTTTCTTCTTGAATGCGTCTCTATGCAGTCATCATGGAGACGTAAATCTCTCCCACAGAGTCCTTGTGTAAACCTCATCCCTCTTCCATATGGTGCTGTTAGTTGCTGAAGTCATGACTGGCTTAAGTCAAACCCACTAGTTTCTGCTGCCAAAAAAAAGAAACCTCTACAACCTATGGCCATAAGACAGCCATGTTGATATTTAGAACAAAGTATTGTTCCTTATATGATATTGTTATACCATCATATAAGATTTTCGTCATACAGCCAAGAGCCAATCCTTACTTAGGAATGTGAATATCATTTTTATTCAAGGAGTGTGAATATCATTTTTAGTCAAGGTTATGGGTAGTTTATCTGAGCAGCAATTAACTTGACCAAACATTTATCACTTTTTTTTTTCATACATAATCAGGTGTTCATAGCATTTAATAAAATTGTTACTTCTTAACATTCTTATAACATTCTTATAACCAGGAAATAACGTTAAAATACAACGTTTGTATAACAGGAGAATTTAATATTCTAATGACGTTTGAATGATGTTCTTATAGCCAAGCAAGAGCGTTAATACAACGTCTAAAAAACTGGACGTTTTGAATGTTCCTAGAACATTCAGAAATAACGTTTTTTATAACTTAATGGGAATAAGTAATGGGTTATGTTAACGTTCTTATAAACTAAAATTTTTATCTGGGGAAGAGGAGAGATTCACGATTGCACTGAACATGTTTTATGTGCAGGATTCTTTGAGCGAGCCCAGAGAAATTAGACCTATCTTAAGGGCCGTATACCAGTGATGCGCGGGTTGATCCGAAATTAGCGGGTGCCTGCGGTCACGGTCCCGCAGTTACGGTCATCCAAAAATGTTTTTAATGACATTCGGGTCGCGGTCGGTCGGGTCGTTTGAAAAAAAGATGCCAATTAAACATTTGTATGTAATACTAGACACAATTTTTGATGAAATATACAGCCCTGCACATTATTGGCTGAATAACTGGCACGTAGATAACACACAAGCTCAGTCTAAACAGTTCTCGGTTCTATACTGGTGATTCGAGAACCGCTGTACCTGTGCGTTCGGTATACGCAGTATCAGCTGCTCGTGCTCATCACTTCTCTCAACAGTGGCACCAACATGTCTCGGTTCAGTGAACTGTTGGAGTTACTGGAGTAAAATAGAATTCAGGATATTGATTTATTTCGATTCGTAGGCGACTGTCAGGCATGTCTAAAAGTGAGTAACTTTAGTAACTTGTGGATCAGCACTGACGCAAGACGATTCGAATGATTCAGTTCGATTTAGTGTACTGGTTCGACCGGTTCACTAAAAAGAACCGGTTCAAAAGAACGATTCGTTCACGAACTGGCCGTGTCTACGATCACTACAGTCTGCAGAGAGATGGGAGGCGGCAAGAGAAAAGGTGAAGACTGGGGAGTGGAAGCTCCGCAAATACACAAATAGAAAGAGTAAAAATGTGGGAGACATTTGCTGAAATAATGAAAGATGATGACCAAAGTGCTGGGTTTGCCTTTGTTATGTGTAGGCCTACGTCTTCTTGCGATGCTGTGTCGTTACACGTCTATGGCCTAATAACGCTCCGATGAGCATTTACTACTAAAAATGCGGTCAGGAAGCGGGTCAGGTACAATATTTTTTTTAACTTTTTTTGCGGTCCGAGTTGCGGGCGGGTAGCTGAAAACGTCGGTCGGTTGCGGGTTGTTTATACATTGACCCGCGCATCACTGCCGTATTCACCGGGACGAATATCTGCGCACGTTTTTCGCCAGCCTTTTTCAATGTGTTTTTTGTGTTCACACCCAAGCGATTTTTGCTGACGATGAGCCGAGTGAACATGCAAATTCATTCCCTGACATTAGGTGGCGCCCAATACCACTTCATAACAGTTCTCTTTTATCGAGATGTTTGTAGTCGCTGTCGCGTTTGTCATATAGTTCTTTATGTTCTAACACCAACGAGACCAGCAGCTCTACATTCATCTTGCCTTGCATCTTCCTCGTCTTATTTCTTCCTGGCAGTGTAGACGGCGACGCTACTTGGCGTAGATCTTCTTCTCCGTTACATGTGTGCTCGGCAAGTTGTGTTTTACTGTAACTTCAGAAGCTCCAAACACGTGAGCAAAAGCACCAATCTCATAGGTCGGATAGTTTTTGACGCGGCGCGTCAAACTAAAAAAAAATTAACCCGAGGCGTTTTTTTTAAAAATGACGCTTTTACTCGTCGGTGTTTTACTCGTCCACGAATGTTGCTCGTGAAATTCGTCTCGGTGTGAACAGGCCTTTACAAGAGCAGCGTGCATCTGAGAGACATTATATCCCACGCACGAGCAGAGAGATTCGTGCTCGCGCATTATATTAATGTACTTTCGGGCTAGTGCGCTCTCAACATTTGACTGGAAAATAACGCCATAGTTCTGCAGCATCCATCTTCCCTTTAACGCAACACCAGAGCACAGCTGTATACCCTCGGCCTCGCCTCGCAGTTGCTGCTTAGAAGTGCAACATTGTAAAGGGTCCGTCTGAAACAGTGTCGTGCGGCGCAACGAATTAAATACATCGGTATGGCGGTATATTAAAAATTTATATCATAACAAAAATATACAGCGTGTTTCAGTATGAACCGGTATACCGCCCAACACAGTTACATTCATCAGGACTAGAGAATCACACTGATTCATCATTAAATTGATTTACAGCTTAGGACTTTCTCTGTTACAAAACATAGTGAACTGCATTATGATCTGGTATGCTCCCTAACAGTTATATAATCTCAAAAGTGACTTATTTAGGTTAGCATGTTGCTAAGCTAACGGCTTGTTTGCAGTAGTATATATAAAAGAACATAAAACACTCACAAATCGAGTAAAATAGTCCAGGTTTTATTTATTCTTTTTGGTAACACTTTATTTCGATAGTCAACTTTAGACATTCTACAAATTATAAGTAACTTTGCAACTACATGTCAACTAACTGTCATTAGAGTATTAGTAGATATTCAGCTTAGTATCTGCTAACACTTTATTTTGTTGGTCCCCCAACAGATATTCAACTGACTATAAGAAACTTGGTGACTACAAGTAAACTTATTCTCCTAACCCAACCATAACCAAACAGCCTACTGACAGTCTACGATAATATACTAATACTCTAATGACAGTTAGTTGACATGTAGTTGAAAAGTTACTTATAATTAGTAGAACGTCTAAATAAAGTGTAACCTTTTTTTTCTGCTGAATGACTAAATTTGTAGTCTTTTCACTGAGCTCATTACAATGCTTTCTGCTTTTGAATTGAATATTCTGCTGACTGTTTTCAGCAGCTTTGGTGCTGTTTAGGAAGGCAGCTCACTAGGCTTTTAAAAAGAGCTTATCGAAGAATAAATCAATTTTTGTCTTCATCTCTCAGAACTGTGGGAAGGTTCAGCTTCCTATGACAGTGTCAACAAGACCTTCAACCATCTGAAGATTCTTAAAATTCGATCTCTTATTTGACAAGCACCCATTCTGTTTTTCTCACCCACAAACACTGCCCACAGTGAAGTGCTAAAATCAGAATTATTAGACTGATATAATCTGCCATTCACATTAGAACTTTTTATCTGCAGATGTTGTTGGGTTTAATTGGCGTACAGTGGCGTATTCTCAGGTCTCGTCTCCATTCGTGTCTGGGAATCACAGTGGGCTTATGAATGGCTGTAAGACAGGCTTATTTAGATGGTCAACAGAGGCCTGTTCTTATATCCAGCTCTTCACACACACCCTCCACTTACAGTGTCAATCATGATTCTCTCCAAAGATGGAGAAGAGTATAATAGGACAGTTATGTTGAAAACAGGGTGCTGTCTGTGAGCAAGCTTTCTGTTGTAGCATGTTGTACTAAAGGTGGGGGAAAACTTATTCAGTGATGCATCACGATTTTGAATCACTCACAGATAGAATGGTATTCTTTGCTTGCTGCAGATCCCAGATTAAAGAAACTCTATCTAAACGTTCACAGAGTTGAGAAAGAGCATGATGAATTTCTAAACCAATCAGGGTTTTTGTGTGATTATGTGCCAATGTCCATTTCTACTGCACACTACATTAACAATGACCATGTGCAGCTCAAAACCTGTCAACATCATAGTTCAGTAGTGTCAAATCCTGTTCCTGGAGAGCCACCTTCAAAGTTTAATTAAACACACCTGAACCCGTTAAAGGATAATTCCGGTATTTAACACCTTGAGTCTATTTTGTAGTTTGTTTTGAGTGAAATAGAGTGGTGGACTTAGAAATTTCGACAATGAGTCCTGTCTCGACTTTTTGACTTTTTTTAGAATCGCCTGTGACAGCATTAGACTGGCTGTCTATGGGCATGCACAAACATTTCCTTAAAACAACCCTTAACGTTCATTTTCAAAACTGTGCAACTCACCGAGTGGTTGGTGGTGTTCGTTGATGTTCTGAAACAAGTAGCGTAGTGAAATACCGTTTCTGTCGTATTTTTTAAAATCGCATTGATGTCTGCTGGAGGACTCAGTGCTCGTTGATATTACTGCGCTAGCTACCGGAAAAGGAAAGGGGTCTGTTTACATTTGGTTGTAGTCTTTTCGCTCGGTTCTCCGTCTCTCAGAAGGCTAGCATGAGCAGAGCAACTGTGCTCCCGGACTTTTTTTAGGTGCGCTAGACGCTGTTTTCCGTACAGTGTCCTGGTTGTCGCCATCAAGTGGTCGGGAGTGTGCTAACGCTTCAGACTCAAATATCGAGCGGAAGTTTATACACGGTTGTGAGGTATCTGAAAAAATAGTTCCTCAATTGCAAACAACACGGATT